CCCCCCCCCGCCAGCAAAGGGTACGCCACTCAGTTCTACAGCTGCTGCGGCAGCATTTGGTCGCTTTGTGTCTACATACATGCGACCAAACTCATTGCAACGACACCGAACAACCGAACCGCTTCTTCTCTTCTCTCTGCAGGTACCGCAGCTACCTGCGGGCTCTACGCCGGGACGAGGCGCTTGGAGAAGCCAATCAGGTAGACCATGATTTTGCACGCGCAATTTTCGTTTCTTGCTGCAACACAACGAATCAATCTATATCCATAGATGAAAGTCGAGGATAAATACACTAAATAGCAATTAGTCCATGGTGTTTTGAAATAGTCTAGGGGTCTCGACCGGTCCACCGGGTATATCATGCCCTGGTACACACAAGTGTCCCGATTTTCCCCAACAATGTGTGTACAGGATTTCTCAGGTCGAGTTCATCGGAGGAGCAGGTCGGAACGCAAACGTAGGGTACTACAGAGTTACTTTTACCGGTGTATTTTTCCAAGGCACCCTTGCGTAACTCATGGCTAGAGCATCAGAGAGCACTCAGTTGGCGCTCCTCTTGGCACCCTTTGCTTCAGTTGGCACGCACACCGCCGCCGATTTGCAACAAAACTAAAAAAAAATAACCGAAAAACATGAAATGAGAGAAATCGTTCTTCCGTCCCCCTTTCCTTGGTCTTCGTAAATTCATTGTCCAAGGTTGCAATGCTGGATGCTGTGGCTCAGCTTTGGGAGCATTCTCCTCAGTGGTTCTGCTTGGTGTGCAAGTACTTGCTGGACATTGGAGTTCTCAGCCCCACCACCGTTGTCTACTATGTGTTCAGGGAAGACAACAACAACGCCATCGCCCTCAGCCCGTTCCTGTGGGAGGTGAGGCGAGTTTTCGAACAAAGCTTAAACGTTGGCTGTCGTTTCAGACGTTTTTTATATCGTTACCGGACGGACTGAAAAGTTGCAATGATTTTTTGTCAATAATGGCAGAGTTCTCTCCGACTGGTGTTTTGCGTCACCCCTCGCCCGTGATTTGGCAAGGTATTCCTTGAAATCGAACGTACGGGAGGGGTACTACAGTGCGAACACGGGGAAACCTGTTGGTATTCGGCAGGTTTTGCCTGCTTCTTAGCTTCTTGGTGGTGCGTGGTGCGGTGCTTTACCAGGTGATGAGCAAAGCCATCAGCTTGTACACGGACCGGGTGACCCTCTCTTTGGGCGAGCTGCGAGACTTGGAGAAGAGTGCGAAGGCTCTGGACGAGGCTATCGATGAACGTCTCAAGGACAGGAGTCCGGTGTCCCCTACGACGGAGGAGGGCAACGGCAATGCGCCGGTGGCCGACCCGCAAGGTTTGATTAGTTTGTGATTGCGTTGTGCGGCCTTCTTCCGTCGGCCGTGCTTTTTGAGAGAGAGAGAGAGAGAGAGAGAGAGACAGAGACAGAGACAGAGACAGAGACAGAGACAGAGACAGAGACAGAGACAGACAGAGAGAGAGAGAGAGAGAGAGAGACGGACAGAGACACAGATAGAGACAGAGACAGAGACAGAGACAGAGACAGTATATGTATTCGAGGTTGTTGAATTATTCGTTAGTTGCGTGTTGTATTCTTCCACCTGGAACTGTTTCTGGGTGTAACCTATGCCTATCTATGCGCAGCTGGTATCGTAGGTCGTAGGGCAACTCTCAAAAGTCATGAACTATCGTTGCATTCTGTAATGTTCGCACACGATGTTAGATTCTTCCACGGCTTTGCCATGTAATCTCTCCAAATACTGTTATCGCATAACCCCGTGTCACGTCTCACAGTGCTTGCGGTGCAGAGGAGAACAAACAGCCGGCGCGGTTCCTCCTGAGTCCTGTCTTGTTTTTGTTTTTTTTGCGTGCAGCAGTTAGCAGCTCACCAGCATCCACCGTTGCTGCTGCTCGTTAACCTGTGTCAAATTCAAAGTACTTTTGATTACTTTCAGGATGTTGATCTGTGTCAATCCATGTAACAACTCGCACGGGATCACA